CAACACGATGTTGACCTTCTCCACGTCGAACACTGCTGGTCCTCCGGTCATCGCATCCACTACGCGATGATGTCCTCTGTAGTCAATCGTATAGCCCTTCTTCTCTAGTAGTCCGTAGGAGATGATGTTCTGTTCCAAAGTCTCTGTGTACGGTACGCTCAGCAGTCGCACCGTAGTTATTCTTCCCATTGCCATGGGTTTCAGCATTAGGCTGCCACGCTTGGTCGCCCTCAGAGCTCCTCCGTCAGCAGTAACACACTCACTCTCAATGTCCTATTGGTCTTCCAGAAAATTATCGTCATTGACGAGGTACCGACTCGACCCGGTGTCGAGGATCCACACACCTTTCTTTATGGTGACTGCGGAGTCCGTATTCAGAATGAGGTACGCAAGTTTAATTTTTGGTGTGTACGTGCGAAGCGCACTAAAATTGATGCACAATCTCCAGACCCCCCGCCTTCACACACAGCCGACCACAGCGACTCAAGCTTCTATTTACTTGACACCGAAGACGTTACCACTGAAGGATCAAGATTGTGTGGATGTGGAGACTTTGGCGGACGCAGGCGTTTCTTCCTAGCATTCTCCAACGTTTTGAACGCATTCTTATGTATCGTTGACCGTGTTTTGCTGAGGAGGTGTCAATTCAAAGCTTAAATTTAAGCTAACGTTTTGCTGTATTATATATTTGATTGTATTAAGCTGCAAAATAACCCCACAGCAGACTCATAAACTCATACGCAGCATCATGGGACGCGATTCCGCCGACGATCGATTAAAGGCCATGTTGCACGCGCTTCGACAACTTGATGGGAACGATGTGCTCTTAATGAAAGACCAAATGGGTATAACGTACGGGGTTGGTATGTAAACCAGGTGCAGAAGCTGTACGAGCGCCCGAATGAGACCGTAGCGATAGACTTCACTCAGGGGGCGAATACTCTTGGGTACCACTTGGATGCGTCGTCATTATTTATGGCAAATCTGGCTTCTATAGCAGCTATTTCAGCAACCTTATCTAGTATGAAGCGACACTATTTTTAACTTTACGTCTTGATGTTAATATGGCTTGCTGCACAGGAAGTTTAGTTCTCACAACGGCTACAGAAATAGGATTTCTAGATTAAGGATTCATTCTTTATTCACGCATTTTAATTTAGCACAGCGCAGATCCGGTATAACCTGTCTTGGATGGCATTACAGCTATTTTGCTAGAAAAAGAAGCGCCTAGCTTCCTTTGCCTAATTCGAGAAACCTGGGACTCCTGTCGTGCGCTGTGGGCTAGCTTTGACAGGGGAAAAGTGTTAACCGCTGGAAGTACCACAGCAAACAGGATCGAGTCAAATTAAAACAAAGTAAAGATACCACTGGGGTATCAGACGAGAATAGACAAGACGATCGCCGGTCTGTTGCTGCACCTGATGACTATTGCGCAGAAGACTGTATTCACAATTAACCAACATCACTCAACGACGCGGGTACCGAAGACTGTCCCGAAATTTCTAAGGGCCATGTCCACGAGATTATTTACTTGACGTGGAGAAGAAGGATTTGTCAACATGATGGGTGGTGCTACGTCCAAGCGAGCTACAGGGCGTGGCTCGTGCTGAAAAATTTACTCGTTGAAATAAAGCAACGAGTGTGATGACATTGATTGGAGTTGCAGCTGTCTTTTCTACATGAGTAACCAGCTTCCGTGTTGTCACATTACCGTATTATCGTAGTCCTTGGCAACACCCCACAAACAATATGGGTAGGGTGAAGACACCATATGCTTAGTAAAAGGTAGCAATTGTTATAAAGTATGTAGTTTTTAGCCATCACTGTCTACCACCATATTCGCTTCCTAAATCGTCGTCTGTGCACACTTCTGCTTCGGCTAAATTATGATTTTCTAGTGATGCAACAAGGTCTTTGGTGTCGATACTTTCGTGAGGAGTAATGTTGACGGCTCGCGTGTCAGTTAACAAAGCCGCTCGCCCAAAGCCACTGATGATGGTTGTTGACGACAACGCCATCCAGCTCGAAGCTATCCAATCAGTCATGTTAACACGTGAAGGTCCAGCTAGTGCGAATGCTGGCTCGACGTGCTTTTTACGAAGAGCTGCAACTTGCTGGTCAGCTTCCTGTTGAGAGTTTTCTTGTCGAATCTTTAAAATATCAGCAACCAGATTATCGCTTCGCGCTTTTCTTGTTTTTTCACCTTCGTTGTAGTTTGATAGTTGCTTGCGAAGTCGCTCAATTAACAACGCCCGAAGATATCCTTCAAACGGTTTATTCCAGGATATGTCGGCTGGTTGGCAGACGTAAGTGTACCGGGGAGTCAGGATGACGTTTAGAGAAGCAGCGTAGTCAGTCACCTCTTATGTCCAATGGGCACTGAAATCATCCCACAGTAAAACCACTTTTTCATCGCGATTTTTGCGGTCTGCAAAAAGAAATATCAGAAATTTCAACGATAAGTCAGCATTCCACCACGCCGTTTTGTTCTCGTAAATTTGGCAAGGGTACTTGTGCTGGAGTTCCTGTATCTTACGCCAGTTTATACTGCCGAATTTATTCCTCAAATTATTGTTTTCGAGTTGACGAGTCGCACTTTTGGTTGGATGAGATTTAAAAATGATGAATGAATCGTATTTTACACCTGCTGAGTCACCCAGTAGCATTACAGTCGCACGTTGCTTGTCTTTGTTGGCGCATTTAATCCAAACAGTCTTGGTGCCCTTGGTGGAGATTGTCTTCTTTGGCACATAATAAAAAAATACAGCTTTTTGCAAATATGTGTGTGAAACATTAAAATAAAATGTTATCATAGCGTCAAACTATACATCTTTGGTCTGCATTGAGTATTTGAGAGCAGTCGTTCTCAACGGCAGTCCGTAGAACCCTTTCTCTGAACGCTTGAGCTGCTTCAAGTGCATCTTGAGGTGTTGTTTGGCCCTGCCGAGTCCTTGTACGCTACGAAAATCTGTGACGCCGCATGAACAGTTTCATCCACGTCGCAGTTGCAGCAAACTTGTCAGAACCGAGACCGCACTCTGCAGCAACATATTTGGCTTTAGTCCCGAGCATAAATCGTGAAACTGGGACTCCTTCTTTTCTAAAAGTATTGATCAATTGTACAATTTCTTCTTCGGTCGCCTTGTTTAGAACAGTACCAACGCCCCGTGTTCAGATGACGGGATCGGCCAGATGCGCATGCCGCACGGATAGATGAAGCCGCCTTTCTCCATTTGCTAACTAGTTTGGCCTTAGCCCTGTATTCTTTCCTCTGCAACTCGCCATGGAAGTGAGTGATACACTCTTTGACAGTGTGTCCCTCATCCAGGTACTCAAGGACAGCCTTCTTGTCGCCATGTCCCACAGCAACACGCTTGTACCGCTTCCGTCGCTTGCTGTTTCCGGTGATACAAGGGCGCCCCATTGCTGCTTCCTCTGAATCCAGGTTTGCGTTTTGGCCCCAAGCAAGCCTAAAAATAGCTTCTGTCATATGTTAGATATATGTCAATATCATGGGTCAGAATTGATTGTCGCCATTGACTAAACGTCGCCAACAACTACGATAAGACGGTATGCACCTGGCTGACGTTGGTCACAGATTTGACGTGCTTCCGGTTTTGGCCATTTATGACCCGTGGAGTACGTACGTTGCGCTACGAACGATCTTGGTGCTGCAGCTGACCTACTGGGGCCCATTGTACACATGTCCGAGTTAAAGTTGCCTGAGCTAAAGTCGTTAAAAATACGTTTCGGGGGCGGGATTGGTACAACAAACCATATGGAAGTGGGCTCGTGCGATTCCACCGCGGAGAACGTGCCAACCAAGTAGTATTGTCGACACTATCGTAAATAAGTTGCTGCTATCCTGAGGAAAATTTCGGAGAGAACCAGCTACGATTAGTCTTTCGCCCCTATACCCAAGTTTGACGATCGATTTGCACGTCAGAATCGCTACGAGCTTCCACCAGAGTTTCCCCTGGCTTTACCCTACTCAGGCATAGTTCACCATCTTTCGGGTACCAACATATGTGCTCAAACTCAAATCTTTCACCACGAAGGTTCATGATCGGTCGATAGTGCCACACCGCAGACCGAAGCCCGCAGCATTTCCTACCTCAGACAGCTTACGCTGCCCTTCACTTTCATTTCGCGCTGGGGTTTCCACACCCTAACACTTGCACCCATGTTAGACTCCTTGGTCCGTGTTTCAAGACGGGTCAAATCGCTCCATTTCGTCAACGCCCCGAACGGCAACAAGTTAAAACCCACATCAATCCACACACAACCACACACGCATAGCAAGCTATCCGCACACGGCGCACACAGAGACACAGGCCCACTCAAAAACACGTTGTAGGCACCTCAGTCCCAACCGCGACTACTCGTCCACCAAGATGTAACAGACAAACGCAAGCGTAAGCCCTACCTCCTCGGCGGCCATTTCCCGCAGCATACGAACTGACCTTGACGTCCCACCGCAGCACAGGGCACCAGCAAGCACACACAGCACACACGCCGAGCGCAGCCAAAAAAGCCGCTGCCACAGCACACGCACGCACACACTCGCCAATGAAATATACCCCATTGCTGCTTCCTCTGAATCCAGGTTTGCGTTTTAGCCCCAAGCAAGCCTAAAAATAGCTTCTGTCATATGTTAGATATATGTCAATATCATGGGTCAGAATTGATTGTCGCCATTGACTAAACGTCGCCAACAACTACGATAAAACGGTATGCACCTGGCTGACGTTGGTCACAGATTTGACGTGCTTCCGGTTTTGGCCATTTATGACCCGTGGAGTACGTACGTTGCGCTACGAACGATCTTGGTGCTGCAGTTGACCTACTGAGGTCCATTGTACACATGTCCGAGTTAAAGTTGCCTGAGCTAAAGTCGTTAAAAATACGTTTCGGGGGCGGGATTGGTACAACAAACCATATGGAAGTGGGCTCGTGCGATTTCACCGCGGAGAACGTGCCAACCAAGTAGTATTGTCGACACTATCGTAAATAGGTTGCTGCTATCCTGAGGGAACTTTCGGAGGGAAATAGCTACTAGATGGTTCGATTAGTCTTTCGCCCCTATACCCAAGTTTGACGATCGATTTGCACGTCAGAATCGCTACGAGCTTCCACCAGAGTTTCCCCTGGCTTCACCCTACTCAGGCATAGTTCACCATCTTTCGGGTACCAACATATGTGCTCAAACTCAAATCTTTCACCACGAAGGTTCATGATCGGTCGATAGTGCCACACCGCAGACCGAAGCCCGCAGCATTTCCTACCTCAGACAACTTACGCTGCCCTTCACTTTCATTTCGCGCTGGGGTTTCCACACCCTAACACTTGCACACATGTTAGACTCCTTGGTCCGTGTTTCAAGACGGGTCAAATCGCTCCATTTCGTCAACGCCCCGAACGGCAACAAGTTAAAACCCACATCAATTCACACACAACCACACACGCATAGCAAGCTATCCGCACACGGCGCACACAGAGACACAGGCCCACTCAAAAACACGTTGTAGGCACCTCAGTCCCAACCGCGACTACTCGTCCACCAAGATGTAGCAGACAAACGCAAGCGTAAGCCCTACCTCCTCGGCGGCCATTTCCCGCAGCATACGAACTGACCTTGACGTCCCACCGCAGCACAGGGCACCAGCAAGCACACACAGCACACACGCCGAGCGCAGCCAAAAAAGCCGCTGCCACAGCACACGCACGCACACACTCGCCAATGAAATATACCCCATTGCTGCTTCCTCTGAATCCAGGTTTGCGTTTTAGCCCCAAGCAAGCCTAAAAATAGCTTCTGTCATATGTTAGATATATGTCAATATCATGGGTCAGAATTGATTGTCGCCATTGACTAAACGTCGCCAACAACTACGATAATACGGTATGCACCTGGCTGACGTTGGTCACAGATTTGACGTGCTTCCGGTTTTGGCCATTTATGACCCGTGGAGTACGTACGTTGCGCTACGAACGATCTTGGTGCTGCAGTTGACCTACTGAGGTCCATTGTACACATGTCCGAGTTAAAGTTGCCTGAGCTAAAGTCGTTAAAAATACGTTTCGGGGGCGGGATTGGTACAACAAACCATATGGAAGTGGGCTCGTGCGATTCCACCGTGGAGAACGTGCCAACCAAGTAGTATTGTCGACACTATCGTAAATAGGTTGCTGCTATCCTGAGGGAACTTTCGGAGGGAAATAGCTACTAGATGGTTCGATTAGTCTTTCGCCCCTATACCCAAGTTTGACGATCGATTTGCACGTCAGAATCGCTACGAGCTTCCACCAGAGTTTCCCCTGGCTTCACCCTACTCAGGCATAGTTCACCATCTTTCGGGTACCAACATATGTGCTCAAACTCAAATCTTTCACCACGAAGGTTCATGATCGGTCGATAGTGCCACACCGCAGACCGAAGCCCGCAGCATTTCCTACCTCAGACAACTTACGCTGCCCTTCACTTTCATTTCGCGCTGGGGTTTCCACACCCTAACACTTGCACACATGTTAGACTCCTTGGTCCGTGTTTCAAGACGGGTCAAATCGCTCCATTTCGTCAACGCCCCGAACGGCAACAAGTTAAAACCCACATCAATTCACACACAACCACACACGCATAGCAAGCTATCCGCACACGGCGCACACAGAGACACAGGCCCACTCAAAAACACGTTGTAGGCACCTCAGTCCCAACCGCGACTACTCGTCCACCAAGATGTAACAGACAAACGCAAGCGTAAGCCCTACCTCCTCGGCGGCCATTTCCCGCAGCATACGAACTGACCTTGACGTCCCACCGCAGCACAGGGCACCAGCAAGCACACACAGCACACACGCCGAGCGCAGCCAAAAAAGCCGCTGCCACAGCACACGCACGCACACACTCGCCAATGAAAATATACCCCATTGCTGCTTCCTCTGAATCCAGGTATGCGTTTTAGCCCCAAGCAAGCCTAAAAATAGCTTCTGTCATATGTTAGATATATGTCAATATCATGGGTCAGAAATTGATTGTCGCCATTGACTAAACGTCGCCAACAACTACGATAATACGGTATGCACCTGGCTGACGTTGGTCACAGATTTGACGTGCTTCCGGTGTTGGCCATTTATGACCCGTGGAGTACGTACGTTGCGCTACGAACGATCTTGGTGCTGCAGTTGACCTACTGAGGTCCATTGTACACATGTCCGAGTTAAAGTTGCCTGAGCTAAAGTCGTTAAAAATACGTTTCGGGGGCGGGATTGGTACAACAAACCATATGGAAGTGGGCTCGTGCGATTCCACCGTGGAGAACGTGCCAACCAAGTAGTATTGTCGACACTATCGTAAATAGGTTGCTGCTATCCTGAGGGAACTTTCGGAGGGAAATAGCTACTAGATGGTTCGATTAGTCTTTCGCCCCTATACCCAAGTTTGACGATCGATTTGCACGTCAGAATCGCTACGAGCTTCCACCAGAGTTTCCCCTGGCTTCACCCTACTCAGGCATAGTTCACCATCTTTCGGGTACCAACATATGTGCTCAAACTCAAATCTTTCACCACGAAGGTTCATGATCGGTCGATAGTGCCACACCGCAGACCGAAGCCCGCAGCATTTCCTACCTCAGACAACTTACGCTGCCCTTCACTTTCATTTCGCGCTGGGGTTTCCACACCCTAACACTTGCACACATGTTAGACTCCTTGGTCCGTGTTTCAAGACGGGTCAAATCGCTCCATTTCGTCAACGTCCCGAACGGCAACAAGTTAAAACCCACATCAATCC